TCATCCAGTAGACCAGTCTCTAATGCTACAACACATACCCGATTAACGACACCGTCTAATACCAGTTCCAATCGCGTTGCAGGATTGAGAAATGATGAAAACGATTTTAGTCCACGGAGCAACTAAAAATAGGGTTTCAAAAAATCTTTGCAATACAGTCGCAGGAGTTCTAGGGAAGCAGGATGAAGATTTCACATAAAGTGGAAGTGTGCAAAGCAATTCAGAAGATAAGACCGCCACCGCGCTCAAAATACGATTGATGAAGTCAAAAGAAATTATTGTGTTGGCTGCACAAACTTCGAAATGACACTCATAAATCGTGCATTAGACTGATATTTTTGTCAGGCTCAGTTCAAAGGCACATTTGAACAGCAATCAGAACCATACAACTGGAACGGTTTTGGACACATGTACAGAAAAGGAATAAGATAAGAATCCAAATGTGATGTTGAAATATCAAAATCATCACGGATGCCTAAACGATGACTTAGGTTTCCACTGATATGGAATCTGATAAGGCAAGAACTAATGCAAGATACGTTTTCTCCGAAATAAACAACATCAAAAATCAGCAACAAAGATAAGGTAGCAGCAAACAAAAACGCAAAAGTACAACATATACCCACCTTGATCGCCGCCCAATACTGCCGATCGAGAAAAGCTGCACAACCAGTCGATGGATTTTTTATGGATCTAAAAAACGACAGTTCAAAAAAGGAACAAGAGCCGATGCGACACTCACTGTTTCGAATATATTGGTACAAACAGATCATCATCTATAGCTTGACTGATTTTTGTTTTCACAGCGATTGCCAAAGCCGCAAATGCTTTACTATCGTCAATATTGAGCTTAGGGTAGTCAGAGAGTCCACTGAGGACTGCTCCTAGTCGTTTCGACTGCTTCAGTGACATAGGTTCCCATTCGAAAGTTACCACATCTAAAGCAGGCCTCTCACAGCGAAAAAAAAAGAAAATTTCAAAGCACAGCAAAACGGGAGCCTAACTAACCTGTTAGGAAGGGAAGCACTACCTTCTCAATTATCGATGGTATGAGTCCGGTGATGATTTCGTGCTTCGGATCGACATCGGTATTGGCCTCAGCCGCTTGCACGCAATCTATGTACCATGGCATCGAAGAGAGAAGAAAATCGTCACGCTAAAATCTAATTCAGTTTTATAGGGTCAAAAAACTTTGAAGATATGTAAATTAATAAAAAATTAATAAAGAATAAAGATGGGCGACGCAAAGAAGATCATTTTAGAAACGGTCAAGAAGTCTAAGAGATAAAGAATGCTTACATTCAAGATATCTGC